GCATCAAAAAAAAAAAAGATTCCATGAGCAAACACTCACCTTAGAGTTATTATGTGGTCATTGCGACCAATAGTAAAGGGTTTGACCACTTAGGTGAACATGAAATGAGGTTGAAAAATATAAATAAAGGAGTACGAACTAGAGCCAACATGGGTTCTTCTTAATGAGACATGCACAAATCAGCAATCACTGGACATATGGTCACACACAACCACATCCCAAATTGGAAATACTACAATTACAGGGGAACTGATGTCGGCGTAGATGAATAAGGATCTAAATGGTTCAGAAGTAAAGACAATAATATTAACAGAGACGAGGGAGTACTCCAATTGTTCCATGTGTTTGAACAATTTTTGTCGACCCACAACAAGACCCAGGGACTCCTGCTTACATCAGACCAGGAGAGGTTTGCCGACACAATACCACCAGTCGGCCAGATCCACAGTTAATATTCCCATGCAGATTAAATTAAATCGCAGTCAATTACTTCTAAAGGAAGAAATCACAATTAGGTGCACAGGGCAAGGAGGTATCGGCAAAGACAGTAGAACAAGGAATGCGCAAACTACTTTTTTGTTCAGTATGGGTTATTTTTCCAAAAAATAAGAATTGGATCTACTTCATTGGTATTTTTACCATTTGGCAATACCAAAATATACTTGTGGGATTGGGGACAACGTATCAAGTTAATAGAACAAAGACAGAGGTTGTTTCCTTATCTTTGCTAATGGTTAGAGTTTAACATCATCAATATATCAATAATAAATAATGGCAGCATCAAAGACACAGATTAACGATTACAAACCAGATAAAACAGTCCAACTTTGTTACAAATTCGACAGATATGATGTTCAAGATTTAGTGAAGTGCAAACTATTACATGTGTAACCCCTCCCCTTGGAGGCTTAAGCTATTAATGTACTATAAGAGCAAATCTCATGATTCTTATGATATGTATTCCAATAACAAAAGTACGGTATTGATTTTAAATAACTTTAAAGAATCTCACCATTGGACAGGTTGACATTGAAAATATAGGGTTTGCTGCCAAAATCAGTTGATACCTGCTCTAATAGCACAACTATTGTTATTTTTACTGTAAGAACGGCAGCCATTTTGAAATTCAAGATGGCCGCCAATAATGATCAGGGAGAATATCACCATTGGACAGGTTGACATTGAAAATATAGGGTTTGCTGCCAAAATGATGTTGATATTTGCACTAATGGCACAGTTATCGTTATTTTTTATGTGAAAATGGCGGCCATTTTGAAATTCCAAAATGGCCGCCAAAACAATCTCGGAAAAAATGGACCCTTGCATTTTTGGATTCAGCATACCCAAAATATCCAGAAAATGTTATAAAATTGCTTTGGGCAAGCCTATCTCGCGAAATGACACTTGGGTCCACACTATAGTATATATCCCCCACCCACCCCAGCAGTCCATCTTTCCATTGATGTTATAATCACTGATCCTCTTACTCACATTTTGTACCACTAACCTTGAATTTTCTAATTAAAAACTAATATTATACTGACTATTAGCAGCATATCCCGGATGATAATGATGTCTGTGAAAAGACGTTAAATATACTATATGAAGCAGAAATAAAAAAAAAATTTGCATAGTACCCTAACGTTATGCATTTTTTAAAGGAATGGAATAATTACTCGACAAATACAGTAGTTGTTACGACGTTGCCTGGAATTAATATTAAGACAGCGAATCGATTGCACATCTCCTGAAAAATGCGCTTTTTCTGTATTATTTGCTGTCAGTGATCGTTCAATTGACAAACTGAGTTAGCGTTGTGTAATAAAGCTTGGCTTAGCACGCTCGCTTGGCAACATCCAATGAGATAAAATATATATATATATTTTTTTTTTATTCCTATCAGTATAACTATGCCATATGTGAATTTCATCCATGTACTTTCATATTTGTGGCGCGAAAAAAAAAAAAAAAGATAACCAGACTGATCCAGTGCATGTGATATTCTTGAGAAATCAGCCAGGCTAATGTAAACACCGAAAGTGGTATATTGTTTCTTCTTTTTTTTTTGCAATTCAGCCAGCATGCCTATTAGTAAACTATATACATTAAACTAACAATTTATAATTAAATGCTTTAGCAATTAACCTCCAACATTATTACTCTTGTACCTGAATGGATTGTCAAAAATACATCCACCTTCGTCATTATTGTTATTCTACATTATCCACTATTAAACATGCTTTTATTCACTGAATGTTATTCTCCTGAAGACGACTGAAGCAACTCAATCGAAACGTCAAGACTTTCTCAACTAGAACAGTTCTTTTCAGAACTACCTACGTGGTGTACCGCAAGCTTAAACATATATAACCTATTCACTATATTTCAAAATACCTTACTTATGCTAATAAGCAGCCTCCCTAATGAATATTTTCTTAAGCACCCACCTTTTGTGTTTTATATTTTTATTCTGTATTATTTATGTAATGTAGTTGTAGCATCAAATTTCATGTACACCTTGTTATGTGGTCATAACAATAAATGTTTATCATATATTATCTTAACTTATCTTAAATCTTAATAAACATCCCTTGCTCCTAAAAAATTAATCAGTACAGTATATCAACGACTTAATTTTCTTTCAGTTGCATCAGTTATTCGTGAGAGTAATAGTTAATTATTATTTAAATATTGTCTTCCAATAATTGTACTCGACTACACATTGTTACATAATCTAGGCTTCATTCATGGGTTACTCTGCATAATATTTTTTTCATTCAAAAAGTGTTCCTTGGATTTTCCAAGTTACTACAAGTGCCTGCTATATTCCCACTGTTTTCTTAAGCTCCCCACTTGAATAAGCGCTTCTCAAAAGGTGTAAAACACATTTTTAAGTGCCCCGGGCGCTTGTTTGTGCAAGTATTGTACAGTAAAATAAATTAAAGTAGTTTTCTGGGAATACTAAAGTATTATTAACTTTAAATTTACTTTCTGATTATTCATAGCCACTATAGTGTATGGTGGTGGTTTGTCGCCACCTTCTCAAATGGCCATATTTCCTAAAGAAAAATGCTCTACACCAGCGTTAAATTCAGTCAGGGCCAGGCCTTGTGTGCAAGAAACTGCTGACTATATTATAAAAAAAAAAAAAGGATTATTAAAGTAATGTAAATTATTTTCTTTTACTGACTTTGTTAACTGTATATAAAGGATTTAATTTGATATATCAAATCAGACAACAGCTGGGACAGAATAGCACCTTCACTCAACCATCAATTTGATTTATCTTTATTTTCATAAAACATTACCAGGTTTGACTTCCAGTTGTATTTTACAGTATACAGATTAATCATTTAAAGCATGATCAAGAACAAGTATCAAACAACTGCTTAATTACCAATTTATTTGAATAAACACCCCATCCAAAGCCTCATTTATAATAAACACCTCCCTCGAATAAATGCCCCAAGTTTTCATATTTTTCCTCGAATAAGCACTGCCATCCCTTCCCCCACCAAATGACTGTAAACAAAATCATTCTCAACACTTTCTATCAATAATAAGCTACTCCAGTAGAATTACCTTTTTTAACGTGGTTTGGATCAATATGTCTATGATTATGCAGTAACATATTTTGATAGTAATTATGTGTTGCATTTCCACATTAAGGAACGTTATTTGAGTATAGTGTATCCTTTTTATATTAAAGAAAAACCCACCCCTGAATAACCACTCCCTCAAAAACCCTTCTCAATAATTATGTATTATTTATTCGAATAAATATGGTACATCAATATTAATCTTAAACAAAGTACCATACAGTACATGTTCTAAATACTAGTGTCCAAGTACCTTAGTACTTGGGTTTCTGGGATGGGTACTTAGAGTATTAGTAAGAGTGCTAGTTAAATACAAAAAATACATTTTTAAATTATTACATTTCTACATGAATTTGATTTGACATCAAGATAACCCAATACAGCTGATTTCCACTGGTATTTGTTAGGTGAGACTTTATTCCTTGTTTCATGTACTTATTGTTTTTAAGATCATCGGAGGAGGGCAGAATAAAAATAAAATTTTGTTTTCAAAAACATCCAGATGGAGGAGAAAATAAAAGTAAAATGTTATTGGTGAATGTAAAATAGGATGGTTAAATGATTCAAATTTATATAATTAGGATGAAATATCTTATATTTGGAGATTTCAAGCCAGCGGAGGGCGTAATAAAAATGAAGAAAAACTTTTATTATTTTTTTTTAAATTTCCACGTTTTCATTATAGCGGCGTTCGCGCTAATTGGACAAAAATAAAAAATTTTATTTTTATTCCAAACCATCAGTATTTGTTAGACAAAGAATACTAATTTTAGTCTTCAAAAATAAAGTAGCATCTCTTCATTAAATACAAGTACCCAAAGCAATGATTTCAGTGGCGTAATGATGGGGCCTGGCGGTGAAAACAATTTGTGGGCCCCTTGCATTCTGTAAAGTAGACAATTTCAAAAATATTGTGCGACTATTTAACAATAGTATTTGCACACTTAATAGCTTTAATATTTGTATGCAACATATAAATTAAGTATATGAATTTCATTAGCATGCAGTTCCAATGAAGATATGCTATATAAATAAACATTATCACCCCCAAATACTGGTATGAGAGAAGTCCTGAAAGAGGAGAACGACTTTCTAATAGGCCTTAAAAAAAAAAGCGCCAATTTCCAATTTAAATTTTATCATTGTCTATGGTCTCAAGCATTTCTAAACAAAAAAACTAAACACCACCCCCACTTGTTGCGTGACATATCCCATGGCACCCTCTACCCAGATTTTTAGCTACATTTGTCCTAGTCATATAAGGTACCAACATTTTAATAGTTTAAAAGACAGACAAAAATTTACTTTACCAATACTAATTTTTTAGCCTACGACTTCTGAATCGCTTTTTCTTCTGGTCGTCTCTAATAGGCTTTCAAGAAAATACCAATATAAACATGGTTAGGTAGACAAAATAATTCATTTTAATAATAAAATATCACTTTGATACCACAACTTATATTGCTCAGAAACGTCTGAATAACATCAAGGACAATCTGAATAAAATGATAATCATTCTTTATGGTCTACTCGATGGTCCTTTTCCATCCAAATATCCGATTTATTACTAGGGCTATACACATTGTTTTAATCGATTTTAACATGTATTTATGTAATGTCTTTACATGTATTTCATAAGCCCTACTATGGTGGTTAATTATGTATTTAATTCTTTATTGCCATGTGATGGAGGCAGATTCTATGGCATGTGGGGATGCAGCCGGCTGGGGTGGGGGCCCATCACTTTCGAAAATGTACCAAGTGTATCCGGGGCTGCCAGTGACTGACTAAAAATTTGGGCTTTTGTGATGGGCACTTTTGGTGGAGTTCTAAATTAATAGATAATGGATGCTTAAAAAAATGCAATTTCTTTTTTATACAACACAAATGTTATGAATTTAGTTGCTACAATTAATGCTGAAGCGCTTAGAGGCTTTGTTAAGGCATTAGGCGCTATATAAGAACGACATATTATATTATTATTATTAGTCAGAATAGTGGCATGGAAGTCAACTATCAGGGCATTGATAATTGTACAACACTCATTAAAACTGGGGCAGTGACTAAGGTTTCACTTAATGATTGAGCATTTGTATATTAAACTAGAGCAGTTCCTCTTTTGAGCACATAAGAATCTAGCTCAGTTTAAAAAGCTCTAAAATGTGCCTATCCATATTAATAACCAAATGCAAAATGCTACATAAAACTCCAGTAATTGCTGAGGGTTTGATTTTATTGATTCTTGCTCCCTTAAATTTGCCTGAGACGAATTTGCATAATAATCATAATGACCTTACAAATTCTTTTTTTTTTTTTTCCCTTTGTTTTTTGGGCTCATTGAATATACTGTTTTACAGCTTTTACTTCTTGTCGTTTTCAGCAATCCCCTCAAGAATTGGTGTATTTATCAGGAAGGCCTGTACAGTCTTCTTGCCTATAAAAAAAATGAAAAAAATATTATGTTTTAATAGTAATACATTAGTTGAAAGCATCATCAAATATATTTAAAAACTTTCTGTTACTAGTACGTTTCACGATATTAGACACGCTCTGTGTACTGATCACTACTGATGTTGCTAGAAATACAGTAGCCAAGAATTATCATAGCCGACAGGCTTGTTTGCAACGTGCAATGGCCTTAGTGATAATGGAGTTGTTTGCCTATATAATTGCGTATCATTTCTTTCGATCAGTTGGACATCTTTTCGTGTCTAGCGCATGCTTAGTACACGTACTACCATGGAGGAAATTTCATTTGAGTGATTCTCTGCACGCAATGATTGGGCATGTTTTGGTCTTATCAAAATCATTTGCATGGTGAGGTGGTTGGCAGCCTAGTGTCTGTCGTGGACAGGCCTACACCGATTGTTCAGTAGATAGAAATTTGTTTTGTAAATGATTCTCAAAAAAACTGCCAAAAAAATAAAGTAAGAATTTAACACTGTGTAGGCATCAAATACAAAATTAATTTTTATTCGCTACCTGTTAAACTAAACTGTACATATAAGTGCTGGTATGTCAGTGTGTCTGATACAAATTGTGAATTGGTGCTAGAGTTCGCAATTCCCTCTGGGAGTGTATATTTTTATTTGGCTTTGCATAGTATAGCCCAAATTAGACCAATCTGGGATTGGCAATCCGCAATAGAATGTTTTGGATAGGCAAATTATTACTTTTTTTTTTATAGATTTGTTGTCACCACCCTGCACAGAGGATTAAAGCCTTTGAAACCCCTAAATTGTTATGCCCCCTGGACCACTAAAGAGATTTTGAGAGATGCCTGACCACACTTTACTTTGCTCTTGTTGGTAACTTCGGACCCCTCCCCCCCCCCATTGGGCAAACCCTGGTGCCTGGTGCACCCCTGCCACTGCTTGGTGGTGCAGAATGTCATTGCAGCTGGACCCCCTCCCCAGCATGAAATTGAAATGTATTAAAAGAATACAAATATTAAAGATTACGTTAAAACAGCGTTTATTTGATGAAAATCGGTTGAGTATTAGCAAAGTTATGCACGTAATTCATTGGATATCAGCCATGTAGGTTTTGAGAGAACAGCTTCTGAAGATTCAAAAATCAATAATATATTATCAAGATTTGTATATTAACAATAATTTTAATATACTTTTGATAGTGATTGATATTTTGCAGAAATGTACTTCAATACAGTAGAATATGCTGATGTTGTGTGGCAGGGTCTCACTCAAGATTTAAGTAGCACCATTGAAGTGATACAGAAAAGAGCATGCCATATCCTAGGCAGAAACTTCAACTCTTATGAACATGCTCTTGGCCTTTGCGAACTCGAACTGCTCTCGGAAAGGAGGGTGGGACACTGTCTCAAATTCGCCAAGGGTCTCACTTCAACATCACATTCTTATGATCTTGTACCACGTACTCGTTATCACAGCCACAATAAAAACCTCCGCAATGGTAACAAAATCACGCAATTTAACACAAAAACCAATAGATTTTTAAACAGTCCAATCCCTTATTATATTCGATTACTTAAATGATTTATAACTTATTCAGTAATATTACATTTGATGATTTGAGTGTGCCACCCTCCTTCCCGATTGGTGCTACCAATTTTCGGTTCTATTGGTACTTTTTATATGTAATTTTTATATTTTTGTGTTTTGATATTTCTATTTTTGTATTTTTTATATATTGCCTTTTGTTATATTACAAGCAATTTGGCCCATTGGGCCACCAATTATAATACTGGCATGTGTTGTTTTTTAATAAAGTGAAAGTGAAATTTTTTATAAAACGCAAAAACATTACGTTTCGGGTGCTTGTGGGAAATTGCAACAACTGGGAGGGTTTTAACCAGAGCCTGTCACAAATTATACAGTAAATATTATGAAAAATTTCTGCAAAATTTATCCTGTTATCTACCCCTTAAATAATTTACAACGTTAAGAGGTAACCAGAAATTGGACCTCTGCATGTGAAAAGGCATTCAATATAGTAAAGCTTATGAATAGCAAGTTGTTATATCACTATGATGTGAATATGCGAATGCATCTGGTTGGTGGCTTATGGTCTGGGAGTAGTGATTTCACATGATTTCAGGGTTAAAATTCAAGTGGTTTATGGAGACAGATTTTGGACCTTGAATATATGAGGTTAAATTGGATGAATCTCTGGTACTACTGTAGGTATGTTCGTATAGATCATATGTTGTTTAGTGCTGAATACGGTCATTTTAACCCAATCGGTTTGAATATCCTCCATTGGGTCAAGGATTTCCAGAGTATGCTACATATTTCTCTACCAAACTGTGCTAATGTCACTCACAGACAATAATATTTATCATTATAATAACAACAGTTTCAGAATAAATAGCACATACATTGCATTGAAATAAAAAAAAAAATTAGTGGCAAAACAGGGCAGGCACGTGCCCTCCCCCCTTTCCCCGTGTCGTCCCTCTCCCCTACTGGATTTTCCCCAGTTGTGTTGGGCTACCCTCTTGTAGGTGAAATATACAGTAGGCCTAGCCTAGTTGGACATGAGAGAAATGTTTCTCTTGAATGAAGTAGGTAGATGCATGTAAGGCTATGTATCTGTACTACTGACATTCAAAAGAACACATAGATAAAGTTTACCCTGGCTTTCGCACAGACGGGTTCCCATATTGGGAGAGTCATGAGAGCTAGCTTGTTTTGTCGCTGGAAGATAAATTTTAGATATTCAAAAAGTTTTTGTTTTCTAGGTTCTTTGAAATAGACTTGAGTGGAGTTGAATAGCTTGGTGGTTAAGATGCTTGTATTCCAATCCCAGGGTCATGGGTTTAATTCCTGTCAGTTGCAGGACTTTTTCTCACGACCAAAACAACTCCACTCCCTAAGCCTCATATTGAGATTTAGTTTGTGTAAAGCATCATGTGTGTATGTTTGTCTTGTGTGTCGTGGACTGTTTTATGTGTACTGGGCCTCTGGGAGAACAGTAATTTGTTACTGAAGAGGAAACCCAGTATAAATAACAAATAAATAAATAAAACTTTGTGCATTATGAGACGTCTATTATTGAATACACTTTGAATTCATAGTTTTTCCCTACTTTGCTATGGACAATTAAAAATTATGATGATGAAGATGATGATGACAATGAGGAGGAAGCTGTGCAAGGTTAATTAACAGGCCCTTTTATGTGTCAAGTGTCAAGCGAGGCCCGTAGCCTAAGTTACGGTTGGGAATTTGGAGACATCGTTGTCGTCAAATGTTCAATGCACACAGTCAGACAATAGATAGTTTATGATATCTGTTTTGTACTAAAAGTAATCTGAAACCCATAAAACATCAGTTCAGGCATTCATTTATCTGTCTGTGGAAAATATAACATATGAATCATACAAAATAAGAAGAATTAAAATTAAATAAAAAATATGTGAATATCTACACTAAATCAAAATGGAATATTCACTGCCTGTTGGATCCCAGTTTTAGTATGGCAGGGGTTCTGAAGGCTTTACAGTACAGTATAACCAATCCACCGTATTTCTGATAGATTGCTGATTAAAATGTAAAATTTAAGAATTTTTATTCAGTACATTTTCAAATGTTATGTAAATCTCATATATCCCAGTCTAATATGATCACAACATGGAAGTCCTCTCCTTTAAACTTCTAACCTACTAAACTTTGCGTATCTCAATATACATATATTTCATTAAATCAAGGAAATCCACTCGTTAAATTAGTATATATAGTATAGAGAATTTTGTCTGTCAATCTCAGATATCCAAATTTTAGGTAATTACGTTTTATGCATGCACCAACATGAAAACTTTAATCTAATAACTTTGATATGTATATGTTTTATGTTGTTTGTTGAATGGACTTCTTTAATAATAATATTACAGTCTAATATGACCACAACATAAGGAAGTCCACTCTGTAAATGTTCAGCATAATATTGTACAGAGAATTTCGATTGTTTATCAATATCACCATGTTAGATCCAAATCACGTTTTATGCAAGCACCGACGAGGAAAGATTAAACATAATAATTTTGATATGTACATGTTTTATGTTATGTGTTTTTGGTCTTAGTTTAATAATATTACAGTTTAATGGCTTAATGTAATAATATTACAGTTTAATGGTTTACAGTAATATTACAGTTTAATGGCCCCCTTAGCGGCCCCCTAGCCCCAATCATATCGACCAAGATTCGAGAGATAGAGGATAGGCTCTAGCTATGCTAACTAAACCTGAGCCTACTGCAGGCCCCTAGGTCTAGGCCTATCTCTCATTGACATCATAGGCTAGGCCTGTGTAGGGATAGCCGATATGATTAAGGCCGAGCTTATACCATTGCTTGTGCCCAAGTGTATCTTTTTTTTATTCCCTCATGGATTTCTAACACACTACTGATGTTTCAAGCCACAAGACTACAGTAATATCCAGTACTTAACGCAATGGGTACTCCAAAGTGGTACGGGAACATGCTGCTCACTCATTTTGTTGACACAAAGCACTGCACAGTGATGTAATGAAGCTGCGAAACATAGACTGGTTCTTTGTCAGTCAGCCACAATCATCTTTAAACCTAAGCACTGCAGTACAGAATAGATGGAATTAAGTGGTTTTTGGCTGTTTTTTTGTTGTTATCCAATATCCAGCCTGAAAAGTAGCAGAATGTTGTCGTGACATATAGGAACCCATTGTATGAGATATGAGCACATTCCTGCCAGCAGTTTCAGAGGAGATAGGTAAAGTTACGCGGAGGCGATTAGTAGTATTAATATATAGATGATAATAATAATAAAAATAATAATAATGTTATATTTATATAGCGCATATTTCACATTGACCCTATGCGCTTTACACAGAAATAATATAGGCCAACCGAGACAATAATAGTAATAGGTTGATTTATAAGGTACAAATACATAAGGTAAAGGAAAAGCAGAAAACTTGATAGATTCAGAGAATAGAGAAAATAAAATAGAACAGACTATCCTAAAATTAACCCAAAAAAGGGAAAACCACATAAACAGACTAGTGCAAGGAACCACAACCATTGCACTGTTTTCTAGGAAATTTGAAACCACTGGTGGTCAGTACTTCCATTAGGTGCTGTAATTGTTTTGGCATCTAACTAGCCTACCATAAAACAGAGGTGAGAAACAAGACAGATCATAGGAGAAAACATGGGATCACAAGGATGCAAAAAGGTTGAGTTTTAAGCTGCTTTTAAAAGTAGCCAAGGAAGGAGACTCGCGAATATAAACTGGGTGATCATTCCACGGCGGCAACACAAAAACACCTTACCCCAACAATTTTTAAACGGCTTTTGGGTGTGAAAAGTGTTTTAAGTAGTTTGGCGTGTTCTTTACATGCTGTAAGTTGCCCAGTGGTGAAGTGTCTTGTATACAAAGAAAAAATCTTGAATGCAATTCTGTTAGTGTGGGTGTGACATGCTGTGATCTAGGAATGAGTTTAACAAGACTCGTAACAAGATTCATAATCCTTACTTGGTAACGATCCTCAGGCACCATTTTAGCTTTTATTGATTATGTATGAAAGGAATTCTTGCATTATGTACCACACGAGTCAGCTGCCTTCCATCTTGTAAATGACCTTAATACTAAAAAAAAACATAGTACAACTCAGTATAATAATACATTATTACAATGGCATTGTTATTATTAGCACTGATCACAGCCCTCATCCTAAAGTTAAAGGTTACTCATCAACATTATGTTATGATTCAAATTTTAAAAAATGGGTGTTCCTCACTTTGACCAACAAAAAGGTTTAAAACAATTTTTTGATAAAGCTTTGAATTCATAAAGTTGTCTTTTGAATTTCCATAATTCTACATGGAGACTAGGGTAGTGGTGGACCATCAAGGCAAGCAAGGTATGCAGTGCATACCCTGGCTAAAACAAATAAAAAAATATGTTAGTACAGTTTCTCCGCTTTATTTAGGATTTCTTAGTCAGGATCTTATACACCCTAATTTTTCAAGTGGAATGCTATTCATTGGAATAGCAAAGTTTTTCAATGTTTGGCCTACTTTGGTACCTAGGATAAGACACAGTCGGGCCTAACGCTTTGTACTTAGAATTTCCGCATGGCTGGTCTTTGATATCAGCCAATCACGTATTCAGTGAATCAATGGAAGTCAGAGCATACCCTACAACGCTTAAACTTGCTATTGTGACAACCGTGTGGTGGCGTCAGAATAACCAATTTAACACTGGAATGCAAGCAGTGCTTCCAATGTGCGCATGCTCTTCTCACAAATCGGGACCTCCACTGCCGATCGGGTATTCTATCTACTACAAGCCTAATCTGAATCGATTAAAGTTTAAATATATTTACATACATATGACCGGTATAGAAGAAACTTAGAATTATTATTATTTGAATTGAAATTTGTTAAAGTACAGGAATAAGAATTCTTTTGAAGGGAAGACAACCATGCCGGTATTAAAAATAACATGCATTGTATTTTGACTATAAAACGCAATCTGATTCTGTATAGTAGTAGGCTTCCAAACTTTTCCTATCCCTAGCAGGCCCTAGCATCAGTGGCGGGTCTTGAAATGGAAGGGAGCTGATGGTGTCAGGAAGGTAAAGTGGGGGCTCGGTGATTATGAGGGATAACTCGCAAAATAAGGTGATATGAGGTGATTTTTAATTACTTGAGCATGATTTGTGGGCGGGGGCGCAACTGGGGGATGGGCGAGTATTTTTTTAGGGGTAGGGGGAGGACGTGCGGCCCCTTGTACATCCTAGATATGCCAATATCTAGCATACCCTGCAATTTACCCTACAGTCCACCACTGGACTAGAGTGGCCACTAATAATCTTCTAACATTTTTCAATTTCTGAAGGTTCTTAATATATAATACACCAAATTATTCACCAAAGATAACGTCATCACAATTTCCTTTAGTGGGTATGAAAAAATAAAAACATCGCACGAAGAGCTATGATATGCTAA